CTCAGCTCAAATACCTGTATGAAAAGAAAGTAAACCACCTTCAGGAATAAGTTTTAATTAATAGGTAGAACTTGGGACCTCCCAGCAAGCTGCTCATCTACCCAGAACATCTACATGAAAGAAGATTCAAGAACGTTTTAAATTTACAGTTAAGTGCATTTAAATGTAGTTGTTAGCATTTAATGCTTTTGAAAAGGCTCCACATCTCATTCATATTGAATACCTTGAAAGAGACACTGGTTTTTGTTAAAAACAAACAAAAAAGTTTAAATTATTAGCTCATGGAATGTTTTTGATAATCATACACACACAGGCTAATTTCACTTATAGCTTAATTTATTCACTTCTAAGTTGCTGAGAAGCTGAACAGAAGGAAAAAGAAAGAGGAAAAAAGTTGGTAAACAAAAGCTCGGTAATGCACGCTTCCAAATCAATTCCAATGAACAAGTTAATGCGGGTCTACAACAGAACTAGCAAACTTGCTGTTTAGAGCTTTATAAGCAGTTTAGAGAAAAAAAAGGGCTCCTTTTTTTCCCTCTAAACTCTGCTCATAAAGCTCTAAGCAGATTGTTTTAATCCCTCTGCTTACTTAAAACAAACATACAAGCACTCTAAAAAGCACTCTGATTTGGGTTTTTCCCCCCCATGCTACTCAATGAATAAGTTTTGATAATTGTTCCTGTGTTTCTATATTCAAATTTGCACTTCTCTATCTAAAGCTTCAAAAAGGTTCAAAGTCTACATCTATATGATGCAATGATTATCTGAATAATAGTATCAGCTCATTCTGTTCTACTGTTACCATGATGTGAGACTTAAGAGTATGAAGAAGATTGTGTATTCTTCTTGAAAGTGCAGTCATCACCACAAAACCCCAAGAAGCAGAGGAGACAAAAAAGGGTGTGCATGTAAAATTGATGCTGACAAATAGCAGCCTCACCACTCAAAAGAGACACCTGAAAGTAGAAGAGGGGAATAGGGAACTCAAAACTTCCAAAACACTGTACGGGGTGGAAATCACTCACATGTGGATTAATCTCTTTCTCAAAGCAGCACATTCATGAGAATAGAACCAAACCATTAATATTAATTGCATCATACTCTAGAAATCTCAAATCATTGGTCCTGTTTTTCTCGGCGCTGCACAAATTTTAAAAAAAACCACCAACATATTCTGTCTATAGAACTATACATATTACATAAAACATACTTCTGCAGTTCTCACATTGTACAGATCAATATTATGAATAAGCTACTGACTTTACAGTAAACTTACAGCCTGCAGTCATTTTACTGGATGAACAGATTGTTCAAAGCACAGGGAAGAAAAAAAAAAAAAAAAAGAAAAGAAAGGAAAAAAAAAAGTCAACCAATAAGCCAAACCCTGTATTATGAGACCCCTAAACCGCTGCATGCGGAATGTAACTGATGGACAGCAACCTGCACATAGACAAAGTTGTAAAATGGTCAGGAAGAAAAGCTAGTTCTGGGACCTAATGCCACCTGGAGGGACCTCAGAAGTCTATTTAATAACAGGAAACCAAGGAAAGAAGATCAGCATAAAACCAGCCTGCTCTCTACCAGCTGGCTATAGTATAGCTATAGAAGCACATGTTGTACATCTCCATTGCAGAGAAAAATTAAACAACTGTTAGCAAGTCTCAACATGAAAGAAGGAAAACAAAAAAAAAAGAGGAGGAAAAAAAGGAAGGAAAAAGGGGGGGGGGGGGGAAGACTAAGGTAAAATTGTAAATTCTGTAGCATCTTGGCAAGATAACAATATTAGAGTTCAAATAAACTCATGGGATTCTACCTGAACTGAATAAAACAATTCACAACTCTTAAAATACTGTTGCAGTTCTACTAGCAAGGGCATCAGCTTACACCACAGCTCATGCTTCCAAGGTTATGTCTACAACTGCTACAAATTATGTGCCTATTAAAAAACATTTGTCAAAAAGTGAATCCTAGAACAAGTTCAGCACCAAGAGAGAACTGATGACAGCATTGCCAAGGTATGGGGTAAAACTGGTTCACTTTCCTACCATTACACAGACTTGTGGGCTGAAGTGAAACTGCCAAGAAACGTACAAATTAATCTTGGGTTGGAAATCTTACACAGGCTATTACACAACACTGTTTATTATTCCCTAGAAAGAGTAATCTCAGACGAGACAGGAAAATAAAGGTGGGGGAAAAGGAGATGGCCATCCTTCTTTGCAGTCAGAAAGTTAATTAGCACAGGAACCAGAGAAGACAATGCTTGTTTCTGTTACCCTGCATGAGTTCTGCAAGTCACGCTTTTCAAGACATCCAGAATACACAGTCTCAGAAATAATTAGGTTTTCTTCACTGACGGCTGACAGGTCTTTTAGCTGTGTCATTGCACGTAAAGATGCCTTAATTGTAGTTTATTAAAAAACCCCACTAAATAACCAAGACAACACAGTTTGTATATTAAGAATATTTTTGCACATTCAGAAAAAAAACAGGTACGAGGATGATCTTCAGAAATCTCTTACGAAATCCATAAAAGAATATAAACAGTCACTGTATGACCTACTAGCTAGTAGGTAAACTGCATAATGTCCTTTAGGCAAACTAAGAGCATCTTCCTCCTAACAAAGATAACATCTCCCAGAAGGGTATGACTCAAAAATGTGCTGAGATCACTTTCTTTTCCTTTTAATTTAAAGCAGAGCAGAAACAGAACTTGAATTTAGAGGCTTGCAATCCTTCAGAGGTCTGGAGGAAAAGGAAACAGTTATGATGCATCTTCTAGAACCAATTATAAATCTAAACCAACCTCTTATCTAGCTAATGTCACACTGAATGCTGGAGGTTGTAGAGTAACAGCATAGAGTAACCAATCCCTAATGATGCATGCAAATTTACACGTTGGCAACAGATGTGTGGAATAAAGTTTAGCTTACTTATTATAAATTTCTATTTCTACTTACTACACTAGAGACATTAGAAATTGTAGTGGTCTAGATTGAACAGAATTGGCACTACTTCATTATACAGATGCAATTACAACAAGACAGTTCATGACTGTTTATCCACTGACTACATCACGCCAGCTACAGTAACTTTGATTTTACTGAATGTGGAATACAACATCACCAACAATCACTTAAATGTCTACATAAGAAATACTGGATTTACCTGAGAATGCAGAGGTAAGAAGTTCTGTCCCAGGCCCTCCAAAATGAAAATTTACCAGCCACAATTTCTATGGGCACTTTATTTAACACTAGACTGAAGTAATCAAGATCTAAACTAGGACGTTTTTCAAGCAGTCACACCAGGACACCAGTATATCTGTCAGCAAAGGACTGCCAGCAAAGTTCTGGGGCTGCAGAACCAATATTGCTCCCTCCATTTTATTTCAAGTTCTACTTTTCTTTTGGAAACAAATTGCTGTTACAGTCTAGAGAATTCTCTCTCTTTAATCACTTTTACATCAGACTGCAAAAAGCAAGGGAATGTGCAACAAGAAATGATCATTGCAGATGCACCCAAGAAGAAGTTTAGTATGTACCTCTGGACAAGTAAAGCTTTTAGGAACACAGGAAAGTTTTAGGAAAATGAAGAATCAGATGACCTTAAGAAGGAGTTTTACGCACTCCATCTAGGAAGCACAAACTGAAGTTTTTATTTAGAGGTGAACAAGGTGAGCATAGGAGATTTTTTTATACTTGGTACACATAAAATCTCTAATCCATTCTGCCATGTCAAATATAAAATAAACCCAGAACAGAGCGCCCTTTTCCTGATAGGTCAATCATGCATAAACTACAGGATGTAAGAATTTAATGTCTGACTGTTGAGGGACTTAGCTTGCCAATGAAAGCTAAAGAAATATGAAAAAGGTGTCTGCTATGCCTGAGGTAACAAGTGAACAAATAAACAGGTCTGTTCAAAACATTGCAGGTGTCCCATCCCTGCAACCACACATCCCTCCACACAACAAAGCAAAATGTATGTGGGCAAAAGGGCAAATTATATTTACAACTGCTTTGAAAGAATTTAAGAAGTTAGGACTGCAATACATGAAGTAGGAGAACTGAACTTCCACCTGCATTGTTTGAGATATCTGCCATGAGGGGACACAATCAAGCTCCTGGATCCACAAAGGTATCAGTTACATCTGGTGTTTGTTGGGAAGGTAATAAATGCAGCTGAAGTGTCCCCAACCGGCACAAGGTGTGGATTTACATCTTTGGCTCTACTAAAATTGACTACTTACCAAGACATCCAAAGTACACTGACACTTATCTGGTTTTAGAATTCTCATTCCTTGGGAAACTTGCTATTTCAGTACTCATTTCAGACATCTGCCCAATAATTATTTTTTTAACAATAGCAGCAAAAAGCAAACAGTTAAAAAAAAACTAAGAACACTGGTACAAAAAAAAAAGTTCCTGTGATCTCATAAAGACAATTCCTTGTAAACCAACATTTGTAACAACACACATGAATTTTCAGCTTTCTAGTTTCCTTTCACATGCTGTACCAAATCTAAGTGTATCACCAGACTGTTAAACTTAATAGTCATGCTTTAAATTTAACAAAAATTTACAGAAAAAAGTCAAAATAATCTTTAATTACATATTGATTGTGCCCTCTGACTTCCTAATTGAATTCTGTGGTGGTGGTCCATTCTTTTGCTTATGTTTTCACTAGAGAAAACAAGTCCAGAGGAAAGAATCTACATAGGGCAGATCCTTTCCACTGAAAATAACCCAAGTTTTCTAACTGAACTACACAGATCAGCAATCACCATCACATCTAGACTAAAGATGTGTATGCCAAAACTACTCTAACGTGCAAACCAGCCTGGTTATTAAAAAGCATATATGATAGTAATATTAGTAAAGCATTTATCTGCTCTTGATACACATCATCAGTACATTTAGCTTTTGGAAACAATTAGGTGACATGCTATCTGTACTTTAAAAAAACACTATCTACAAAAATAAAGATTTTGTACTTACAGTAAATATTCGCCTGCCAGTCCGATCAAAAGTTACACAGTATACAGAAGATAAGTGTCCTAAAATTCGTTTGTGCATCTTCATATGTTGATAGACTGCAGTTGGAACAAGGCGTTCAAGTCTGTATTTTCCATTTAGTTTTCTTGAAAACAGGGTATCCACTACCAAATGGGGAAAGAAAAAAGAAGATACAGCATTTATATTGGGTTCATAAACTAAAATACTTCTCCAGGATGGAAAGCTTATTTCAACACTGGACCACTTGCCATATGAACAGCTTACTATAGTAATTCTCTCATTCTGCCCTACTTAGAGAAAAATACGTACAAAAGTAGCCGATGATACAGACGTGCAAAAGTACCACCAAACCACAAGACAGAGCATAAAGATGCAATATAGCTTTCAACTTCAAGTGCCCAAACATATTCATCTCACTTAATACCTACTGTGAGAAATTCAGGACTGAGGCAGCTTCCATGAAGGAGTAAATTACCTCAAATTTAACAAGCATAAGAGCTTCTACAGAGATATTAAATGAAGATCAGCAAACATTCAAATCTTCTCCAAGGCAAGCTGTTTTTGAAGTCTACACAAACATTTATCCACCGCTTGCAAGACAAATTTTTTTTTTTTTTAAGAATATTGCTACTCAGTACAGCTAAACAAACAAACAAAAATACCAAAGAAAAACTTACATATGTATTTACCAAAACCTTACAGAAAATTCTGATTTTGATTAACAGAACCTTGTTCAAAGAATTTGGGATTTTTTTTCAGGTTTAAAAGCTAAGAAGGTCAAGGAGCAGGAATCTACCCTGTTTTAACAAATCAAGAACTACAGTAAAGAAAATAAAGGTCAATGTTATTAATTTTAAACTGCTACTCATGCAACGACAAAGCAACAGAGTATAATGCTCATATGCATGGATACATTAGTCAAACGGCTCCTCATGTCATCATTAGACCAAAGAACGGCAATGGCGATACATTGTAATAACACAGGTAATATATTCAGATCTCCAGCTTCTGAATATATGAAAAGTAAAAACATAAATGCCCAACAATGTCCACAGCACTACGCACACATGAAAAACAAGATCTATCTGTGCCAACAGAGGTAACTGATACTTTCATTGCTACTCTGCTTAGCCATTCTTCATATGTGACCATGGCTACATACTAGTGAACTGAGCAGGTCCAGGGCAGAGGTCTGGGCACTGACTCACCTTCACTCCTTAGCATCAACTGTGAAACAGTCACAAACCTCTTGCATTGCTTGGTTTTGGTCCAGATCAACCAGACACTAGTTCATGAGTCAGCACAGGTCAAACTATATTAAATATGCAAACTGGATTGTAGCTACTCTATAAGGAGCAAAAGCACTTAGTGGTATGGACAACTGCCAAGCTCATTGGCCTCTGGCCACAGAAACAGCACTGAAACATTTCAGTTAAATGCCTATGTAGCCCAAGGATTCAAGGAAGTTTTCAAGATGCTTTGTGAAGGAGCAGGATCATTAACTGTGTGTGGAGCGGCACTTTTAGTCAATGTGCCACTACTATATCCTCTTCACCCTCTCCTTACACAAGAAAAAGATGCAGCTGCATTTGCTTTATGACAAAGCTTTTCCTTGCCAACAGTCTACTTTAGAACAGCAGGAAGCTAAGATTAGTTCAGTCACAAGATAAATTCAGTTTCAGTTTCTGACAAATCATCCTACAGTTAAAAAACCCCCAACCAACCACCAATAAAAAACCCATACACGCAAAACACTCCACCCCCCAAAAACCCCCAACAAACCAAACACAGACACACAGAGTAAGGAAGGTCTTTGTCACAACAATAAAGTGAGCTTACACAATAATCTTGACTTACTCAGGAGCTACCTTTTGTTTGCTCTTCACGTAAGATGGAGATGGCTGTTGGAAATCAGCATCTAACAATGCCTTCCAATTAAACCATAGCTCACAAAAAGGGGAAAAAAGCTTAACTAAGAGTTTAATTTGCAAAGATGTTTTGCCCATAAATCGAAACTGTAAGCAGACTCCTTAGGATAAAACCACCAGTGACTTCATGTAATAAGCATGTCATTTTTAACACGGATCTGAATTTATGAAAAACTTTTTAAAGTACCTGAGATAAATTTCAAGTTTGAATTTTGTTTTGTTTTTAAATCACTGGAGAAGATTAACAGAACCTAAGCCAGTATTTCTGATGATATTCTCACCAATGTGAAGTGGTAATCGGCAACTTGCTACTAGTTCACATATTCCTGGGAAACTCAACAGATGAAATGCCCCTTGATCAGCAACAATCAACCTACTGGAGGAAATAAGAGGCAACGCTGTGATACTAGAAACAATAAATCTGGGATCTATCTCACTCTTTGGCCTTGATCAAAACTTAAAACATACAAAAATCGCAAAACTGGTTAAAAATAAAATTAAAAGGTGATTTGACATGGGGGGGGAAAAACACCAGTATTATCAACTTACATTCTATCAGAAGAAAATTTTTTTACCAAGATCATGCAATTGTGGTGCGGGAAAGAGGGGCA